TCCTCCTCCTCCTCCTTCTCCTCATCCTTCTCCTCCTCCTCCTCTTCCTCCTCTTCCTCCTCCTCCTACGACTCCTCTTTTCCCTCCGCTCTTCTCCTCCTCCTCCTCCTCCTCCTCCGCCCTTTTGCTGCCCCCAATCCTCGTCTTCCTGCCCCCTCCCCTTACTCCGGCCTCCCCTGGGGAGGGGGGGGGCGAGAGTCGGGTCCGCTGCGGTCGCTGGTGACTCGCTGGCCTGCCAGGCGGTGGAGCAGCGCCTGCAGGGCCTCCGCGCCAATCTGCGATGCGTGCCCAGCATTGTCGACGTCGATGGCGAGGCCTGGCCGGTTGGGAAGGAAGGAGTGGCGGAGGACGGAGGACGGAGCAGGATCCCAGGACGACACGAGCGAGAGGTGGGGTTGACTGTGGCAGGGTCAGGCAGGAGAGAACGTCAGAGCTGGTCACACAACGGGGTGCGTAGCGTGGTCACGCTTGGGAGATGCGTTCGGCATTTGTCTGACAGCTTCAGTCGCCCCAGCCCAGGGTTCTCTTGGCTCGGCCCAAAAGCCACGGTTTACGAATGTCTAGTTGCTGGCCTCCTGCTGAAGAACCCCTTGCGAGACATTACCCGTACGACCCTCAGAGACAGTTTTTAGCAGGCCAGCCAAGCTCGTCACCAAATTCTTGACGCTTCGCGGGTCCCCGCCAGCGCCCGCCTCAACAGAAGGGGCATCCCAAGTCCAACGGGAGCGACCGTGGCCGCCAAGGTCCAGGACCACGCGGCCTGGCAAAGCGGCTGGCCATGCGACCCCAAGGCCAGCGCGCCCCCTCCGTTCCCCAGCCACTGGCCTCTGGGCTACGGATGCAATCCTCTCTCCCGGGACTCCAGGACGCTGACCGACCTCCTGATGGTCCCGCCGACCCAGCACTGCCCAAAGATCGCCAACACTACACTGCCAGCGAAAAGGATCCTGGACGGAAGGTTCGGCGGCGAGGCCCACAAAACAGGCTCCTACTCCGCCAAGTGCGACACATGCCCGCCTGGAGGCCCACTCCTGGTATGGAAGGTCGGCGCCCCAGCTCTCGGCTGCTTCATCCGGAAGGCCCAGGCCGAGACAGGAAGCACTGAGCGCGCAGCTCTTCCCGAGTGGGATCAGTGGCCACTCTCCTGGTTCGAGCGGAAATGGAACGCCACGTGTTGCTGCAGGAGGTGCCTGGTCTACATGTGGAACGTCGCGCCAACAACCCTGGAATGTATCATGGACCGAAACTCCCGGACTGTCTACCCACAGCAGCCAGCAGCTCGCCCGCGTCTCACAGAGCAGGCAGACGGCGACGACGCCACGCCCGACTTGGCGACCCAGCTCACACCCGCAGCAGCAGACGCAAACGCGCCCGATCCATACGCCCGCAGCACGGCCTCAGCCAGCCCAGTGGCGAGCAGCAGCGGAAACGGCGGCGACGTGTCCCAAACCGACTCGCGCATCCGCACAGTCCCAGAGGTCTTGAGGCTGCTCCCAGATTTGCCGCCACCAGAGTTCCCAAGACTCCGCTGCAGACAAATCTCCACACTCGCCATGGAGGAGACAAGCGACTCCAAGCGCAGCCGCTCCAACAAGCTGAAGGAGGCCCAGCATACCCTGGTCGCCTACCTGCGGGACTACCACCCCACACTGGACGGCTGCTGGACGGACCACGTAAAAGCGGAAGGCGCACAGAACCCAGCACCGAAGGATCAGGAAACCTCTTGGCCCGCCCACCAGCTGACACCCTTCCTGGCCAGGATCTACGGCGTAGAAATACCGCAAGATGGCCGTCCCGGGGGTTCCCCATTGGGACGGCAAAAGATGGGTTGCAGCAAGAGCGGTCGGGCATCTGACGAGCAGCGCGAAGCACAAGGAGGCCTGGGCGGCGCACTGCACGGGCCTGGCGCCCGACAATGGCCCGAGTCCCTTTCGCCACGAGCTCACCGTCCTGGCCAGCTTCCTGGCCAGCCTGGATCCCGGAGCGCTCGCAGCTGCCTCCATCACAAAACTCGCCGAACAAGACACCCCTGCTGTGGGCCTGGACGAGGCGCACTCGGCATCCCCAAGGGGGGCCACGAGGTCCTGGCTCGCGCCGAAGACCGAGGAGACAGCAACAACAGAGGCCGAGTCAACTGCGGAGCCCAGGGCCCAACCCGACGACACGGCCCAGCCCAAGAAGGCCGAACCGCCCACACAGCAGGCGGACCGCGCCCTTCAGGCGGCAGAGCAGGACGCGACAGCGACCCTCCCAGGTAAAGAGACAGCGGACTCTCCAACGAACCCATCGCAGACTGATACGGCCGACAGCGATGAGGTCGATTTCGGCACCGACGAGGCCCGACAAGCGGCCTCGCCGCCGCCTGCCGAAGACGCCAAGGGCGCAGCCGAGCAGGAAGGCAGCTCATTTCCACCTTCGCTCGACACAGCTGGCGACGCGGCCGACGACAGCCCTCTCGACGACCCCCTGGGCGCCTTCGGGCAAGCTGCGGCGGGCGGGAGCAGGACCGAGCTCTCTAGCGAGGCGCCGGCCGAGGGTGCGCCCCACAGGCCCAGACATGGCTCTGCTGAGGCCCGGGAAAGCAGCGGCTCGCAGCGCAGGCCAGATCCCGGAAGTCAAGCGGCCAAAGACGGCGCCCCTGGTGGAGGCAGAACGCCGACAAGTCCCGCGCGATACGACACCCCTGGGGACAGGACACAGCAGGGCCGCCAGCCGCGCCTTCGACGATCTCGTTGACCCCGTGGACGGAGGCCGCATGCACAAGGAACTGCTGAGAAACGTTGACCTTGACAGGGTCGGCGAGAATCCAGCAGCCAAGATCGCGCGACTCCAGAAGGACCCGGGGGGCGCGTTCAACGGCGCCTGGCACACATGCACCAGGAAGCACCCTGCGGGAGCCAAAGGATTGCCGAAGGGCAACCCTGCACTGAACCCCGAGGCCTCCTGCCGCAACTTCCCGGACGCCTGGAAATGCTGCGGGTTCGACGCCTACGAGCTGGATCGGCAGCTCGACATGCGGGTCGACTGGGACGAGGAGCCAAAGGGCCGCGCGCCCAGCTCACAGCAATCCCGGGACTGGGACAGCTGGTCCTGGACACACTCCTGGGACGCCAACGACAGGGCAGACAGGAGGCAAGCGGGGCGGCGACCACAACGGCGACGGGAGAGGCGACAAGCGATCCCGCACACGGCGGTGATCCATCTGTTCTTCGGCAAACCAGTGGCCTTCAGCCACTTCCTGGTAGCGCTTTCTGCCCCCCCGCTTCTCCTCCTGTGCCACCATAGCGCGCGCGGCCTTCCGCCGCTTCCCTGGTCTCCCCCCCTCTCCTTCCGCACCCGCTGCCCCCCCGCCCTTGGGGCCCTGGCAGCTGCCTGCTGGCGATGCCGACACGTGGACTGCCGCCGGGGCCGTGGTCCACATGTTCTAGTTGGCCCCTGGCCTTGCTGCAGTTGTTTTCACCGCGCCGCGGCGCCCTCCGCCCACCGCGTCTTCTCGGCAGTTGCCCCGCGCCGAGCTGCTCCGCTCCCCGCGCAAAGACGGCACTGCCACGCTCCGCTCTGGCCATTTCTCCCCTCGGGGCCCCCCTCGCCAGCCGGACGTTCCCAGTTCGCTTCTGGCGCTTGCCACGCCAATGCAGCTGTCCTGGGTGAGGTGCTTAGCCCTGCTAGCGGCAGTTCACTTGGCAGTTCTCTGCGTGCTGCCATTCCGCACAGGCGTTCGATGTCGACCTATCCATCGTATTCCTGGTTGGTAGCATCAGGCGCGTGGCCGATCCGTCCAGGGTTTCGGTGTCGATGCCTTCCATCGTTTTCCTGGCTGGTTCTTCCTCTCGTTCTCGGAGAGGGGATTGCCCCGGACCTTTTCTCTCAGGAGTGAGTGTGCGGTTTCGGTGGCACCACTCGTACTGGTTCCTGGTCAGTGACGCATTCCTGGCCATCGGTGTTAGCATTACCTCTTGGAGCGCATTGCAAGCGAGCTGCCCCCTTTCAAGGGCTGGGTGCATAGATGTCTCGTGTGGTTTATCCTACGTCTAGTCCTCGCCCTCAGCGATCACTTGTCAGCTTCGCTGTCTGTGACCTTGCCGCACATTTTGGGCTGCGCATAGCTCCTTGGTTCAATTCGTGCATCGGCACTGCCCCCGGATCCTGGTCCCGGTTGCAGTTTGCATCGCCCGCCGGCAAGGTTTCGGGTTCTGCCCCGCCTCTTGGCACCACCTCGCGCCGCCCGGCAGCTTAGGCAGCTTTGGCAGCTTAGGTTCGGCCGCCGGTCCCCGTGCGCTCGGCAATTAGGCTCGCGCGTAGCCCGCCCGACCTCTGACGCTACTGGCGCGCTCGCCTGCGGCCGCGACGAAAAAGGGCCCCCGCCAGCCCATCCAGAATCCATAAATGACGTACAAACGAGCCCCGGTAGAAAGGAAGCAGAGGCAAATAGAGAGGCAGAGAGACCGACACTCGTGAATGTGCAGTCCTCTTGGAGGCCTCCTGGAGCCATCTTGGAGTTTTCTTGGGGCACTTTCGGGAGCCGTTGGATTCCAGAGCCCTCTTCAGGACCTCTCCGGCCTTCTTGGAGGCCATCTTGGAGGCCATCGACAAAATGGCCATCTTGGAAGCCATCTTGGGCGGTGCGGACTAACGCTACACCTCTGGAGCCCGAAAGGTCGTTTCTCGGAGCCCTCGTGGAGCGCTCTTGGGGCCCTCTGTGAGCTCCTTTAGGCCCTCTTCGGGCTCTCTAGGGCGATTTCGGGGCCACTTTGAGGACCCGGAGGCCCATCGGAAGCGAAAAGGCAAAAAGACACACTTCACCCATCCTATCATCCTGCGATGTTATTTACATCCACCGACCTACTGATGCGGAGTCCAGGGAGTGCATTGGCATCGGAAATATGAATCCGTTGCATAGAGAGGCCGCCACATGGTATCGCTAGTGGTTGGCATCCAGATCGGCCACCGCACGTTGAGATTCATCGGGATGCAGGGAGGTGCTGGGAGGCAGATCTCAGATGCGTGAAGCACATGACAGCTCTACATGTTCCAACGCTTGTGATTGTCAATGAACACTGGGGTAATCTACCCGCGACAGGGTGGCTTGGAAATGTGCCAGGTGAAGATTTTACTTACAGATGAACCGCAGGGGCCGCATACGGATTTGCAGCGAGGTTCAGAGCGTGACAATTGCTCGGAGGCCTCCTCAATGATGGTGCATCGCACAGAACAGTGGGTGGACGGACTGAGGCTCGAGACGCCTTGCAGATTGATTCGCGCAGTGTTGGGCATGCTATTCATCGTGCACCTTTGTTTCCCCCTCCGATCGCAGTGTCGTTGCTGTCACGTCCGCGGGAGGCTGGTACGCAGGATGGCGGCGGGCTGGCCACTTTGGCACGAGCAGGCCCTCGGGGAGGACATCGGGATATCGTGGGGATCCAGTGGATGCTATTTCTCCCTCCTCCTCCGCCCCCTCCTCCTCCTCCTCCTCCTCCTCCTCCTCCTCCCCCCCCTCCTCCTCCTCCTCTCCTCCTCCTCCTCCTCCCTCCTCCTCCTCCTCCTCCTCCTCCTCCTCCTCCTTCTCCTCCTCCTCCTCCTCCTCCCTCCTCCTCCCCCTCGGTCTCAAACTACATCATTTCTCTGCAGGCTCGGAGAGTGTTCGGGCGAGAGGCACGGCAAACAGATTCCGCCGTGAGGCGTCACTTCCGGACGGCCCCGTGCCCGCGACTCCTGTGCCGTCCACTGTTTTGCGATGCACGGCCACGTTGCGCTGTGCTACACCACAGTGCGATATGCGAATGCCACATCGTGCAGCTCTATGCCACGCGGTACACGGCTGTGCTACGCCGCGATGTTTCATGGTATGCTACGCCATGCGAACACATGTGCTATCATATGCCGTGCAATGATGCGCTATGATGCGTCGCGCGCTACTGTGAAGAGTAGCGCGATGATGCGATAATGCATGCTTTGCCACGCTATGGAAACATCTGCAATATGCAGTGGTACGCAATCGATTGATAAAGTGAGATATGCAATGTTATGCCAGGCAATGAGATCTGCTGATAGGTACTACATGGAACGAACGAAGCCGTGTCATTCCGCACAGTTCCAGTGTGCCATATGATGTGTCATGCGATGATGTGCCCTGAAGCGTGATGCTATGGCATGGCATGATCCCCCTACGTTATCATGGGTCATGCCGCGCGATGTTTTGATGGTATACAATGGACTCGCTCGTGCTATATGTACGCTGATTCCTGTTCCAGCGAGAAACAACCCAGCTGGGAGCGCAACAGGTTCATCTCGCCAGGTATGCGTCCACTCCCCACGTCATGAACTGTGGTTGCAGATCGGCTCTTCGGGGTGTGGAGGGGGGGGCAGCCGCGCCGTCCTGATTGGGCAGCCCCTTCAACGGAATGCATGCGTGGAAGAGGGGGGTCAGGATCAATTTCGGCATTCCCACGCTCGCTTTTAGGCCACTCTGGAACGAAAGGGCGAACTCCTTGCCGACAGAAGGGAGGCGTCTTGGAGCGCAGCTTCTTCTCCTCCCTCCTCCGAGAGGAGGCTGAGGAGGATGGGGGTCGAGGGGTGGACCTGGTTGTCGCAAAGGCTTGGCTCACTCCAGATCGCCAGCCCTTGCGTTGCCTAGGTATTCAAAAGGCACAGGTAGTTGTGGAGCGGGGGGTCAATGTCTTGACACTTGCGTTGGCCACAATATTGCTAGACCCTCCGATGTTGTTGTAGTTGCGATTGTTGTAACAATCTGGGGAAGCCAACTATTCGGCAGCACTGTGCGTTCTTCTGTGCCTTTATTATGCCAGTGATGGACAACGGGGGAGGAGGGAGTATGGCAAGGAGGGCGCAGGAGGAGGAGGAGGAGGAGGATTCAGAAACGAACCAATGCGGACAAGCATGCGACATCTCGCCCAAAACAAAGCCTTCAAAAGCATGCGCACGAGGTTGGTCTTCATTTTGCCACGTCCCGCCATTCTCGGCATGTCTCGGTTACCCTGACTTCGTTCATGTTGCGCGGGTAGGGTGTACAGAGGGGGCCCATGCCAAGAAACACCCTGCTCACCTCCAGGGTGCCCTGGGTTTCGATGGTATTGCGATGGAAAGCGTGACGTACCCACACCAGAAATTAATGGACGTCCTGGGGTCTCAGGGTTGGGTTTCTCGTGGAAGGGTCCTTGTGGACTGGCCTCCATTGTATGGCAGTGCTGTGTTTCGTAAGTCAGGTTTTGCCCGAGGGATCTCACCCTCTTGTGACCGTGCAGTCTGCTGATCGGCGGCTGGGCGGGGAGCGCATGGTGACGCTTACCCGGCCGGTCTGCTAGGGAGGGGAGACGCAGCGAATTTCCACCCCCCGGCTTGAGTTCCTGGGTAGTCGAAGGCCAGACTGTCAGATTGGATTGGGCCCCAAGGGCCAATCTGGCCCGGCTAAACTGGATGATTTGGGTTATTCGCCAGACTGGATTCGCGTTGGCTCCCTCGCCAGATTGCCCCCGTTTGCCAGATTGGGCCTGCCAGATTGGCGCCAGATTGGCTTCGACTACCCAGAGTTCCCCTTGCCCGCCGTCGCGTCGCGTCGTGGCACCGGCAGGGTACGCTGGTGGGCGGCGGGCCCTTCGTCGGAGGTTCCCGGGCGGTCCTCGTGGCTGCGCGGGGGGCGGGGGGGGCCCTCGGTCGGCGGCGGCCCCCGGCGTTGCGCAGGGCTGTTAGCCTGGCATCGCTCGGACGTGTGCATGTTTTCGCGGCGAGGGCCATCGAGGAGCATCCTGGAACATAATATGAAAATAAACCAAACAGGAAAACCGGAACCTCGAGCAAAAACAAGCCACGCACGAAAACGTAAGATACACGGGGAACGGACGTTCGAGCGACGGCGAGTCAGGGGGTTGCCCCCAGAGCAACACCAAGGCATGCCAGGCAGCGCCAAACACTAAGCAGCGCCGAGAAGCGGCAAGCAATGCAAAGCAGCACAAAGCAGCGCCAGATGGAGCTAAGCAAAGCCAAGCAAGGATTCCAAGCAATGCCAACCGATGCCATGCAATGCAAAGCTGATGCCATGCAGCGCCAACCAGTGCCAAGCAATGCAAAGCCAATGCCAGACAATACCAAGCAATGCCAAGCAACGCCAAGCAATACAAAGCAACGCCTAGCAATGAGTTAAGCTGTATTGCTTGCACTCCTCAGAACTGCTCTGTTGAAGGCATCGCGCACGAATGCAGAGAGCATCCAGCTAAGGTGCTACTCCACAAGGGCGTAAAATGCACTAGTGAGCCAATGGCACACTGCCGCTGGATGGAGTTGTTTCGGATCGCGGGTTCCTGCTGGAGTTGTTTCGGCTCGCGGGGTGGCCCGATTGGCTCTTCCGATACTCTCGTGTCCTCTACCACCAGAACGTCTGCACGATGGCCTTTAGCGGGGCTCTCTACGACGGCTTCGTGGCCACGCGAAGGACTCGGCAGGGTTGCCCGCTCTCCCCCTTGTCTCCTCGCTGCCGCGTCCGACCTCCTCCTCGAGCGGCTTCGGCGTCTCCGCTGGTCTCTGCGCCGCGCGTATGCGGATGGCACAGCGGTGCTCCTGCACGGCGGGCTCTACGCACAGTCCCCGTCTTGGTATCCATCTTCGAGGACTTCGCCTGGGTTTCTGGCTTTCTGCTGAATCTTGCGACGGCGCTCGTTGTGCCAGTCTCGGACTTCGACCCGGGTGAGCTGTGATCCGCCATCACAGCGCTGGTTCCTGAGTGGGGCCAGCTCGGGATCGCGTCGCATGCGAGGTACAGTCGGGGCGCGGAAGAAGGAACCCTTTTCGTTGGGGAGGGGCTCGGTGTTCCTTGATTGTCTCACAGTCTGCCTCAGGTTTTCCCGAGGTTTCCCCCATGGGAAATCGAAACTTAACTTATGGGAAAAGAGGGGGCCTCGCTCCTTATGTAGGTCTCCTTAGGTCACCGCCCCGACGGTGTCTTGGGTGCGAGGTCGGCGCCGTGGCCGCGGGAGACGCACTCACGGGACGCAGCGCGGAAGACATTCCGGGAGCGGGGCCTCGTTCCTTGTTCAGGGCTCCTTAGGTCACCGCCCCGACGGTGTCTTGGGTGCGAGGTCGGCGCCGTGGCCGCGGGAGACGCACTCACGCGACGCAGCGCGGCAGAAATTATTCCGGGAGCGGGGCCTCGTTCACCTGTTCAGGGCTCCTTAGGTCACCGCCCCGACGGTGTCTTGGGTGCGAGGTCGGCGCCGTGGCCGCGGGAGGCGCACTCACGGGGCGCAGCGCGGCAGAAATTGTTCCGGGAGCGGGACCTCGCTCCGTGTTCAGGGCTCCTCAGGTCCACGCCCCGACGGCGTCTCGGGTGCGAGGCCGGGCCTGGCCACCCGTACGAGTCTTCTGCGGGAGGCTCGGAGGAGGAGGAGGAGCGGGGCGCACTCGCGGGGCGCAGCGCGGAGGAAACTCCGGGAGCAGCGCGGGGCGCAGTGCGCCGGTCGAGCGGGGCAGGCCCCCAGATACCCTGGCGGTCTGCGGCCTGCCGCGAAGCACAGCTGGGGCTCCGTGTTCCTTTGCTGTTTCACAGCTTGCCGTCGGTGGTCCTTGTTAGGCTTCCGATGGGAAGCCGAAGTTTTTAACGTGTGGAGAGAAAACAGGCCTCGATCCTTATTTTGGGCTCCTTGGGTCAAAAAGCCCCGACGGTGTGTCCTCGGCGTGCTTCTTCTCGTGGCTCAGCTGGAGCGGGTTCCCGAGCAGGCTCCTCCAGTTGGAGGCCCAGGTACAGCTTCGCTCGGCCCCATGGCCACGGGGGGCTGGCTGCCTGCGCTGGCTCTGCAGTCCCTCGAAGACACCTCGGGCCTGATTCCGAGCTTGCCTTCCTGGATTCCTGCGCCGTGGCAGGCCAGCCACAACTGGTGGAGCTGTAGTCCTTACCCCCCTCGGGGACCCATCGATTTCGACACCCATCTCGAGAGATCGTGGATGCGATGGGTTCCCCCAGGGGGGTAAGGACCACAGCTCCCACAGTTATGGCTGGTCGGCGTGGCCGCGGCGGCTCGGACTTTCCTGTGCGGGGACAGACAGTGCGGTGGCCTTCGAGTTCGCGACCGGGCGCGCCGAGTACTAGAACGACTACATTCATCAGACAACGTCTCTCTACAGACTGCATCGTGGATCCGTTCATGCCCCCTCTTCCGGCAATTGGAGGCGGCGGGCACCGTCGAGACGGCGGAGCGGGCGCGAAGCCTTGATTCGTCCTTGCTGGACACGGGCCTGATGGACGATGAGGGCAGGAGAACATGGCAACGCCAGGAGCTGACGATCCTGAGGCCACCAGGCAGCCCTGCCCGCGCGCACGCCCAGGTCAAGGTAGCCAGGTGGCCCACTGATCTCTCCCCACGGCTCCGGACCGACCGGCGGAGTGCAGTTTGCCAGCTGCTGGCGCGTCGGGCCCCTCCCCGATCGTGCGCCGCTTTCGTCCGCACGGCTTTCAACAGATGGTGCACGGAGCGGCGCTTTCAGAGCAGGGCGGACTGCCTGGTCGGCCGCGGCCGCGGAGAGGGCTCCATCGAGCATCACGACTTGTGTGACTCCTGCCAGTCGTTGTACTCGCGCCACGCCGGTTTGGCACGGCCCGCGCGCGCGAAGAGATTGGCATATTTCTGGAACCTCGGGCCCTCGCGCCGCTCCAGGCTCGGCGAGACTGGCGCGGAAGCGGCGATGCGGCACGCGCGCGTTCCCAAAAGCCGCGGGGCACAGAGGGAGGGGCAAGAGGAGATGCCAAAGGCGTCGTACGGCGGCCCCTCCTCTCGCCTCCTTCCCCGCCCCCCCTCCCCCCCACAGTGTTCGCGGCGCACAGAGCTCATGGGGAGGCACGCTGTGGCGCCGTGCGCGCCGGGCCTGTGGCCGCCGCCCTTTCCCAGCCTGCTGCGGGAAGGCGCCCGAGCCTATCCAGCTGTCGAGTCCCTGCTGCGCTCCACCCCGCGGCGGCCGCGGGTTTCGTAGCACCCCTTTCTCCCCCTCCCCATCCCCTTCGCCGATGTGCGTTTCATGCGCGACGCGTTCGAGTTCACATGTTACTTCGCTGTTTCACCATGGCATCCCGCGCAGTGTGCTTTGCACTTGGGGCCAGCCCTCCTGGCTACAGGCGTTCGGGCCCAGGCGAACACCCGCCCGAATTTCCACCCCGACTGTCGGCCACGCTCGCAGGGCAGACGCTCTGTTGACGTCGGTGGCTTCTTTCTCGAGGTGGATTGGGGGCAAACGCGCGCACTGCTAGGATACGAGGTCGGGCCATATTTAAATCAATGTGTTGTCCCGCTCCTTCTCGTGTTCCTTCTCTCCCTCCTTTTCCCCAGCCATGGTGAATGCACTGCTGGGCTGTTGAAGCCATTCAATGCGAGTCTGTCGCACAACAGTGTGGCTGGCCAGGGGATGATACGTTTTAGGATCAGTTCGTGATCAGTTCGTGTATTTCGCCATATGGGTTCTCTCTTCTCTTCCTCCTTTTGTCCTTCTCCGTTTCGCTAAATCTAGGATGTCATGGCCGAAGGCCCGTCCCCGGTGAAATTCGCTCTTGCCTGTTCAGCTTGCCTGTCTCCGTTGCCCGCGATCGGCCACGTTCGCAGGACAATCGCGCGTGGGGGGCAAGCTTTGTCGACGGCGCGTTTGGCGAGGAGGCTCGCTGCGCGAACATGTGGCGTCCGCTCCCAGCTTCTCCCCCCCCAACAAAAAAAGTAATAGTAATAATAATAATAATACTTTAAAAAAAAAAAAAAAAAAAAAAAAAAAAAAAAAAAAAAAAAAAAAAAAAAAAAAAAAAAAAAAAAAAAAAAAAAAAAAAAAAAAAAAAAACGCCGCCGCTGGGCTGAAAAAAAGCTGAACGTCGCTTGAAGCAGGTGCCCGCCCCTGGGCCAAGGCCGCCCGCCCCCCATTCTTGGAAGCTTGGAAGCTGCGACGAGAGACCAGCATCCAGCCCTCCCAGATGGGGTCCGAGCACACGTTAGTTCATCTTTCAGCATCCGAGAGTTCTTCGATGTTTTGGGGGGCCGAGAACCTTTCATTTCTCATTGTTCTATCCTGGGCCTCTTCCTGGCCATTGGGGGGCCAGGAATAGTCAGAAACGAGCACAATCAGAAATGAGCACGATTAGGAATGAACGACGTGTAGATGGGGTCGGAGGATCGCGCCTCATCGCCGATGCGGCTCGATGTGGAGCCCGTGTTTCCCCGCGCCAGCGTCGCCGATGCATCGCCGACGTCGCCGACGCATCGCCGATGCAGCGCCGATACATCGGCAATGCATTGTCGATGCGGCGCGATCCTTCGACCCCATCTACTCAGACCCCATCTAGGAGGCCTCTACAGAAAGAATACTATCATTGGCTAGGCATTCAGTTTGTCGTGATTACTCTGCCGCAGAATGCAGCGCCGTCCTCTACCACGAGCACCCTGGATGCAACAGCTCAGCTTCTACGGGGCAAGGGCTGTTAAGAACATGTACGATCCGACGTTTGTGGAGTTTCGTGGCGCGGTGGAGATGAGGGAAGCGAGCCCAGAGATCAGTGAGCCCGAAGTTGGGAGAGGTGAAGACGAAGACGCAGCCCTGGGGCAGGCAAACAACAGAAGCAGAATAGGGATGATGAAGTCAGCACTCGGCATGACGAGTCCAAGCATGACTTGACAGGACGGCGCATCATTCGCATGTCCGTTGCACCTCAGACGGCACCACGCAGCATCGCTGCAAGGCACCGAATGAGAAGTACCGTGCACCGCAAGACATCGCTACACACAACACCACGCCGCACGCACCGGGACAACGGATTTGATTGTGGGGGCCACGTTCGGCATTTGTTGGGCAATCGGCACCATGCCCTCACTAGAGGAGGAGGACGAGGAGGAGGAGGAGGAGGAGGAGGAGGAGGAGAGAGCAGAAGGAGAGGGAAGGAGGAGAGGGAGAAGGAGGAGGAGCAGAGAGAAGGATGAAAGAACAGGAGGAGGAGAAAGAAGAAGAAGAAGAAAAGGGATGACAGTGAAAGACGGGGGGAGCACGTTTTGTGACCTCGCTGCAATCCTTGATGTCGAGCCGCCAGGCTGGGAGTACGCCTGGCTCTTAGTCCTTAGTCGCACCCCATCTGGGATCGAGGCCCTACTGGGCGCCCGACCGACCATCACTCCGATCCGAACCCTAGACTGGATCCGTCTGATCGGCTGAATCGGGGCAGAAGCCTAACTACGACGAGGAGGGATGAGGAAAGAGGTTGGTGGTGCGGGCAATCTTCAAAAGCACAGCAACGTCATGACTACGGGGGCGACAACGTGACATCGAAAGCCTAGAGGGAAGAGGAGCAGGAGGAGGAGCACGACGACGACGAGCAAGACGAGGAGAAGGGAGTTTGAGGAAAAGGAGGAGAAGGAAACAGAGAAAGAGGAAGACCTGCAGGGATGAGGAGAGGATAGGAGGAGAAGTGCGGCCGACCCCACCGATCCTCACTCCGGCCCGATCTCGAGGTTCTATCTCTTCGTCTGGTTGGATCGGGTCACAGACGGAGGCTGAAGGAGGGAGAAGGAAGGGGGATCGGAGGCGGCAGCGGAGCAGGGAGGTGTGAGCATGGGGAAGGGGGAGTGGGGTGGAAGTATGACGGAGATTGGGGCCCTGTCTGCGAAGCTGAGCTCGGGGGGAGGACGGAGGAGGAGGAGGAGGAGGAGGAGGAAAGAGGAGGAGCAGAAGGAGGAGGAGGAGGAGGAGAAGGAGGAGAAGGAGGAGGAGGAAGAGGGGGAGGAGGAGAAGCTGGAGGAACAGAAGTGAGGGAGGAGAAAGAGGACAGGAGGGGGTGTGAGGGATAGGACCAGGAGAGAGCCGAGGAAGAGGAAGAGAAAGAGTAGCAGTGGAGGGGGGAGAAGGAAGAAGGGGAAGCGGAGTGGGAAGAGGAGGAGGACGACGACGGGCGCGGCGACGACGACGACGACGAGGAGAGGGGTGACAAGGTGGACAAGGATGAGAAAGAGCAAGAGGAGGAGGACAAGGAGGAGGAAGAGGAGGAGGAGCAGGAGGAGGAGGAGGAGAAGGGCGGGGCGGAAGGAGGAGGAGGAGGAGGAGCAGAAGGGGAAGGAGGAGGCGGAAGCGGGAGGGAAAGGAGGAGGAGGAGGAAGCCGTCGTTGAAGCCCCGCTCGCTGGCGCGAGGTGGGGAGGCTTCGCCCTCTGGGGCGCGTCCGCCCGAGGCGTGGCGCATGGACTACGACGGAGTCTCGGTCGAGTGCCCGGCCCTCCCTCCTGGCAAAGGGCCTCCTCCTCCTCCTCCTCCTCTTCCTCCTCCTCCTCCCCATCCTCCTCCTCCTCCTCCTCCTCCTCATCATCATCATCATCATCATCATCATCAGCAGCATCAACATCAGCATCATCATCATCAGCAGCATCATCATCAATGGTCGTTAACCTCAGATTCCTCCTTGTCTTCTTCCTGTTCCTCATCGTCGTTGTCAGCATCATCATCTGCAGCATCATCATCGTCGGCATCATCATCACCATCATCATCAGCAGCAGCATCGTCGTCATCGTGGTCGTCGTCATTGTCATCACCGTCATCCTTATCATTATCATCAGGTCGTTATCCTCAGATTTCTCATTGTCTTCTTCCTGTTCCTCATCATCGTTGTCAACATCAGCAGCAGCATCATCATCATCGTCGTCATCATTACCATCATCATCATCAGCAGCGTCGTCGTCATCGTGGTCGTCGTCATTGTCATCATCGTCAGCATTACCGTCAGCATCATCATCATCGTCGTCATCGGTATCCTCATCAGCACTATCAACAACAACAGCATCATCAGCAGCAGCGTCATCATCAGTCGCAGCGTCGTTAACATTGGCGTCATCATCAGCATCATCATCATAATTATCCGGTCTGTCCTCTGTTATTAGTCTCCCCATCCCCGTCATCCTTTCTCTCATCCTTTCTTGCATCCTCCTCCTTCCACTCTCACCCGCAGCGCGACCTTTGGCCCTTTTTGAACGTTGAAGGCATCCAGGGATATCCTCCTGCTCCTCTTCCCTCTTCCCTCCTCCTCCTCCCTCCTGCTCCTCGTCCTTCTCCTCCTCCTCCTCCGCCTCGTCCTTCTCCTTCTCCTTTTCTTCCTTCGTCTTTCCGCCGTCTTCCTGCTCCTGCTCCCTCCTGCTTCTCCTCCTTCCCCCTCAGTTGCAAATCGTTGCGGGGCCTCTCCGGGGCGAAGATGGCAGCGCCCCGTTGGTCCAGCCACCGCGCACTGGACTTGGCGGAGCCACACGATTCCGATGAAGCTGGGCGGTTGCTCCCTTGTGCGGGGCGCGCCGCGAAGGCCTGGCCGCGAGGGCGGCCCTGTCGCACCCGTCTGCTACCTTTGCGTTCCCCCGTGCGCGCCATCGGCCCTCGTCTTGGTACAGCACGGTCCCCTTGGGCTGTGTGTGTCTACACGTTGTTCATTTCTAAGCCTTCGGAAGTGCTTTGATTTTGGGGGGCCAAGATCCTTTCATTTCCAACTTTTCTATCCTGGGTCTCTTCTTGGCCACCAGGGGGCCAGGACTAATTAGAAACGAGCACACTTAGAAATGAGCACGATTACACATGAACGACGTGTAGGCCTCCCAGATGGGATCGGAGTAGATGGGGTTGGAGGATCGCGCCGCATCGCCGATGCATCGGCGATGCACCGGCGATGCGGCTCAATGTGGGGCCCAATGTTCTCCACGCCAACGTCGCCGACGCATCGCTGACGTCGCCAGTGCATGGCCGTTGCATCGCCGATGCATCGCCGATGTATCGGCGATGCGGCGCGATCTGGCGACCCCATCTACTCCGACCCCATCTGGGAGGCCTCCAGTGTGCTAGTGGGAGGGGGCACCCTGGCTTGGGTCCATGGTGCTGGTCTCACCCAAGGTGCCAAGCAATGCCCTTATCTCGCATGTTCCCGCCGCGAGTTGTATTGCCAATCCGGTGGCGGGCTTGTTTTGAGAAACTTCGGGGAGCTGAAGTCTGCCCAGGTTTGTTTTCAGAAGCTTCTGGGAGGCTGGCCTAGATTTTAGCTGGTGATGTTGTTGGACCATGGTTTCGGCTGGAGCGTGTCCCAATGGCCTCCTCGGTGGCTGCATGCTTGTTTTTGAGCGCCCAGCTGGCCAGGCCACCCGCGCCTCCTTCGGCTGTGTTCTGTGGCCGCCCCATGGGCACGGGGGCGCTCTCAGCAGTTGGGCCACCTTGGTTGGCAGCCATATAGAGTGTGAATGTCTTGTCTATATACACCTATATGTATAAATACAGATATGTGTATGGGGGGGCGTTCCAGAAAGGGCCTTGCCTGCGAGGGCACAAGAAGTTGTCATCTCTTCCGCGGCGGAAGCTGGCGGAAGGGCGGCGGAAGGTGGCGGAAGTGAAAAATGCGCCCTCAAAAGGTGAAAACGTGTTTCGGTTCAGGGTTTCCGAAATTTGCCAGACATACCTGCATGCATGCATACATTCGTTCATAAATACATATACACATACAGTCAACCCGCACGGAAAGGATAGACAACCTTCCCAAGGGTACCCTTGCATCCTTGCCTCCTCGGTCCATCCTTCGCCGCTTTCGCTGGCCGCGCCCCGCTCGAAAAGCTTGGAAATGGGCGTCCAAGGCCCTTGCACCCTTATCGCCCATCCTTATTATACTGGTTGATTGTACACACCTACATATATACACGCGTACATACATGCATACACACATCATGCGTGCATGCATGCATACATTAGTGCAGGAAATGCGGTATACAGACATGCATGCATACACATATGCATGCATACAAGTATGTGTATTTACATACAGTCACGCATGCATACATACATACATGCATGCGCGCATACAAGTATACACGTATACCTCGATGTCCATACATGTACATATACATGCATACATGTATGCATGCATACATATATGTATATACAGACATGCATACATACAGACATGTGCACATGCTTTCCTGTATGCATACATATATGCATACGTGCCTACAGAGTTGCATACATGTAGATACATGCATGTGGGCATGCATGCTGACATGTATGCCTGCATACAGACAGACAGACAGACAGACAGACAGACATATTTACTACACACATCCACGTATTTCTTATATGCATAAACCTGTACATGGACAAATGCATATAAGTACGTTTGGATACGCGCGTGTACACGTATGTTCATACACACATGCAAGCATACATGCAGGCAGTCTTACTTCCACCAATTCATGCATGCATATGTATATAAATGTGTGTAAATATGCATACATACATGTTTACAAGTATGCAGATACGCATGCATACCTACATACATGTATGCGTACATGCATACATACATACAAACATACAGACACACATGCATACATACATACATACATCCTCCTTCGACACTTAAACATTATCATCTCCCCTGCCTCCTCCTCCTTCCCCTCCCCCTCTCCTTCTTCCCCCTCCCTTCTTCCCCCTCCTCCCCCTCCTCCTCGTCATGCCCCTCGCCCTGTGGAGGAAGGGGGCCGCGGGGGAGGGCCTGGCAGGTACCTGCGCTGCACCCTGTGCCTGCGGGCGGTCGCGGCGCAGGCGTTCGCGCACCGGCGGAGGTCCACGGAGGGCGAGCCTCCCGCCAAGGCCGCCCGCAAGGCAGCCCCGTTTGAAAGTTTCGGGTTCGAGGTTCGATGTTTTCGGACGGTCTCGTATAGGTTCTGGCCTATCGACGACGCGTGAGAGTGACCCTTCGCTGGAGGGGCCTTTGGTGCGGGCCCACTGGGCCCCCCCCCGAGCGCCGAACGCGATGCGATGGCAGCGGCTTGCGCGCTCGAGTTTGGCCCCCCCGCGGTCCCAAGGAAGCCGCGCACCGAAGGTCACTCTTCCCATGGGTCGGTCTTGCGTGCGGCCGAGTCTATTACCCCGCCTCGGGATGCGCTCCAGCAGCTGCCTGCGCCTCGCCGAGAGCGCTCCGGGGGCGCCCGGATCGGGGAGCCTGGATATATGGCCCGGAAGCCAGGAGGGCAGCAGGGGCTTTCGAGGCGACGGTGGTGGCGAGGATCGGGCGGGGCCAGGATCAGGATCAATCATTCCAGAACGCGGAACGCTCTCAGAGAGCTCTGAGGCGTTTCGGAACGGCTGCGGCGCCCGATGCATCCAAGAACCGTTGGGTGTCAGAGGTTACCAATGTTTATCCCGGCCCGATGTTGTCTTAGTCTTGGCCTCGTCTTAGACGAGGAGGTGTCTCCTCCTCCTCCTCCTCCTCATCATCATCATAATCATCATCACCATCACCATCACCATCATCATCATCATCATCGTCATCATCATCATCATCATTATTATTATTATTATTATTATTATTATTATTATTATTATTATTATTATTATTATTATTATTATTATTATTATTATTATTATTATTATTATTTCTTCCCCTCTCCCTCCTCCCTTTCCATCCTCCTCGTTCCGTTCTTCCCCCTCCCCCGTGCGCGCGGAAGGTCGCGTGCCAGGAAGAGGAGAGGGGTGGGAGGGAACAGGACGGAGGAGGAGGCAGGAGGAGAGAGGAGGAGGAGGAGGAGGAAGAGGACGGGGGAGGACGAGGAGGAGGAGGAAGACGAGGACGAGGAAGAAAGAGGAAGAGACGGAGGAAGGAGGAGCAGGAGGAAGAAGAGAGGAGGAGGAGGAGGCGGAGGAGGAGGATGAGGGACCAGAGTAGACCCAACATGCACCAGCGACGCTGGAACATACACTCCCGTCCCAAGTCCCCGCCTCGCACGTCCCTACAAGCTTTCCCTTTCAATGCAAGAAGCGCCCCCCTTGAAAGACCAGCGCAATATGGGCCTCCCATTCTGGCGAGGGCCCCGTTTTGAAAAAGAACTGGTGTGCATCATACTGGCGCGAAATCACTAGAGGCTTCGCGTAACCCCACCAGTTTCTCAGCCGCCGCTTCTGAGTGCTGGCCCGGCCGTCTTGCGCGTCGCTCAGTAGCTAATCAGGCTGGCCCGTGCCCCGGACCCCCCTCTCGGCGACAGCTTCACGCGTCTGCCCGCGACCAAAAAAGGTAACCCCACCAGTTTTTGTTGTCCTCGCCTCCTGAGTGGCAGCGTAGCCCGCTCCTGTCGCTTAGGGCCTAAGTCAGCCCGCTGCTCGTTAGCTGCGCGATTCCAGACGGCGCCATCGGCCTAAGTTAGCCCGCTGCTTCGTTAACTGCCCCCATCGGACAGCCAGGCTCGTGAGCAAGAGGCACCTCCAGGCCGCCCCCCCAGGGCGGATGAAGAGACTTCCGGCGTCGATGGGGCCAACGACCCGCCCGTGGAAGCGCAGGGCTCGCGCGAGCAGGCATGCAAGATCGAGGGCGAACAGGATGCGCCCGACTGGGGGGACGAGCAAGGAAGCATATTAGCCACAACCAAGGAAACGAGCCCGATCGCGAGCCCAGAACCAACCGCGGGCGAAGACGAAGAAGCAGACGTCTTCGACTCCCTAGGTGTTTAGGATGCGCCACCAAGCGGCAAGGCCTGGACCCCCTATTCGCAGACCGTCGACCGGGTAGCCGCCCTGGAACTTCGGAGTGCCAAAGACAGCTCCGAAAGGGAAAGCGGATCATCCTGGGATTGTGCGGGAGCCAGGGACGACCGCACGCCCAACCGCAGTGCATGGGACCGGGGACGCGACCGTCCCGCCTCGGAAGACACTGAAGACGGGAGAGGGCGTGCCGCGAAGTCACCAAGGGGTAACCCCACGCGCACGGAGATCCGCGGGGCACCCTGGAGGGACGGCAGGGTGCGAGAACCTTATTACGAGAACATTAACGACCCCATGGGTTGCGGCCCCATGTACAAATGCACGATTGCAGCTGCAGACGTGGAAAGGAGCGAACCCATCCAGGACAAGATTACGCGCCTGCAAAAGACTTTCTGAGGCGCGTTCAACGGCATCTGGCATGCCTGGGTTAAACGGGCTACCCTGAGTCAGAACCCCAAGGGAGGCTACAAGAGCAATCCCAAACTGAACACACCCCAGACGTGCGCGGATTTCCTGGAGGCATGGCACAACGCCGGCCATGATGCATATCGGATGGATCGAGAATTCAGGCTCGGCGTAAACTGGGCTGCAGTTAGGGACAAGCACATGAACTCCGTGCGTCATGACGCTCACGCACACGCCCCGCGCGACTACGGCAGCCGCGACAAGCCTGACCCTGGGCAGCCGAGAGCCGAGCTGTCGCGCCTGCGGCTGCACAGGACCCCTGGGCTGGAGCCATCGGTACTGCCACCCCCAGCCAGTGGCAGGGCTGGCAAGAATGGGCCTCGCGGGATCGGCGAGAAACCCCATGGACGGACTCCGACTGGAAAGGCAGGGGCAAACGATACCCCCCAAGAGGGGGCGACCGTGACTCGGACAAGCGCGCCCGCTGGTGGGCGAAGAGTGACTCCGACACCCAAGGCTGACGTGCTCCCGACACGCCCACCTCAACGCCCTTGGTAGGGACCTGCCCAAGGAGACCAGTTCCCCCCACCTCCAGCCACCCGTTGCCCCGAAGGGGCTCGTTTCACCTCGCTGCGCCCGGCCCAGGCCGCAATGCCCGGGGCCACCCTCCGCCGGGGCGAAGGCGACCCCCACATTTCACCCACGGCGCAGCTTAGCTAGACAGCACACGCTGGATAAGTGGACCACCATCTTCCTTTTCGGGCCTGACGCGGAGGGACTCCCCCCACCAGTACCCGACATCTCACCCTCACTGGCACGGCGGGGCCGACCTGGCTCGCGCAGGCAGGCCCCCCAGGCTCACAGACTTTGCCGTCCGACGACGACAGCCAGCCCGCGCGCCAGGGCCCGAGGGTGAGCCACAGATCCGCCCCCAGCCTGCCTGGCGGCGAGCTCGACCTAGCCAGGTCACAGTTTTGTCACACTACAGACTTACGCGGCGGTTAGCTGCGACCCTGGAGGACCAACACCCACCATCCCCGTAGAGGTGCCAATCTTCGCGTTGGCAGACCAGCATTCAGCATGGCAGGAGGTCCACTCAGGACCGCACCATCACACGGCATCAACACCGTTCGAAGGACCCATCAGTCAATACGATTTGCTCTTGAGCGGCGGTTAGCTGCGACCCTGGAGGACCCTTGTGAATGGCCATGTCCCCTGACCCACGGGTCCCGGGCCCGTTCGGGGGGCGTTGAGGTGCTTCCCCTCGCCTCTCCCCTCTCGGGCCAGGCGGGCGCCCCCCGCCATTGGCCCTGGGGCTCGCCAGGCGCGCCGACAGACGCCGTTGGTTTTGTCCCCCCTCCCCAGGGCCGCCCTGGCCCCCCGCTGTCCGTGGCAAGGTTCCCCACTTTCAGCGGCGGTTAGCTGCGACCCTGGAGACCCACGCGGCGCGCGATGGAGGGCGGCCCCGAGTCTCGCGGGGAAGTGCAGAAACGGCGGGCAGGATCGGACCATGGTGGCCGTCGGCTCTCGCGCCTGCTTCAGCGCAGCTTCCCCTTGGTCGCCCCACCCAATTGCAACGTTGCACACTTGCTTGGGCACGCGCCACACTTGCCCCGGGAGGTGCAGCCACTCTGTGTACTTGAGGATAAGCTTGTCCCTCGGCCCTTTTGGCGTACTTCAGGCGGCAGCACCACCATCAGTGCAGCACCCCCCTGGACTCCCCTGCCTCGCTGGCGATGCTCACCACACCTGCCTGGCCTTCTCCTCTCACCCTGGGCCCGGCGCCGCGCCGCTGCCCACGGGCCCGGCTCGCGGTCGTCTTGGTGTCCCTCATGCATTGCTTGGTGGACTGGCGGGCGTTGAGATCGCCACAGAGTGGTTCAGCCTTTCGCAGCAGCTGCAGCCAGGCTCATCCCCCCGCTTTTGGCAGGTTGCGTCGTTCCACGTTCCTCGACAGCTCTGCCCACCTGGCAAGCACACGCCGTTGGGGCGGTTGGAGCCTGGCGCCCCACTGGCGACTCGCTCCTCGGGCCTCGCGCCTGCCCCCATTCAGAATGACGGACACGGTTGCTCAGGTACTCGTCATGTCTCTGCGTGGGTCGCGCCTCAAGGCAGGCATCGAATTCCTCGACATTTTGTCTTGCACGTGCCGGAGCTTCCCAGGATGCCCCCCGCCGTCAGCTCCCCCATAGCCTCGCGGCTGCTTTGTGAGTGGGCCGGCCGGCTAGCGGCGCCTCTTGTAGCTAATTAGGCTTGCCCGTTGGCCCGGACACCCTGCTCGCCGCCTGCCTCTTCGCTGGCGGCCACGACCGAAAAAGTAACCCCACCAGTTTCTTAGCCGCCGCTTCTGAGTGCTGGCCCGGCCGTCTTGCGCGTCGCTCAGTAGCTAATTAGGCTGGCCCGTGCCCCGGACCCCCCTCTCGGCGACAGCTTCACGCGTCTGCCCGCGACCAAGAAAAAGTAACCCCACCAGCTTTTTTGCCCTCGCCTCCTGAGTGGCAGCGTAGCCCGCTCCTGTCGCTCAGGGCCTAAGTTAGCCCGCTGCTCGTTAGCTGCGCGATTCTGGACGGCGCGCGGTTGGACCGCGACGTTCGCGAAGCAAAAAGGGGGAACAACAAAAAAAAACCATCCAGAAACGATGCCCAGAGGAATTGCCTCGATCAGGGAAGTGGGCAGCACACAGAGGAAGGGTCCCCCAGTGGAAGCCTCTTGGAGCGTCTTGGGGGCCTCTTGGCGGTCCCCGACACTTCTCAGAGCGTCCTGGATGCCTCGGAGAGCTTCTTGGGGCCTCCTGGGCGCCTCTTGGGGCCCTCTTGAAGCGTTTTAGGGGGCCGTGGGAGCGCTCTTGGGGCCATCTTGGAGGACATCGATCAAACAAGAAGGGAGCATCAAGTAGCGCTGCCCCTTGGAAGCCCAAAAAGTCGCCTCTTGGGGCGCTCTTGGGGCACTCTTGGGGCGCTCTTGGAGCGCTCTTGGGGCCATTTTGGGGCTCTCTTGAACCTTTCTTGGAGCCCTCTTGGACCATCTTGGAGCCATCTTGAGGCCTCGGATGGCCATCGGAAGCAAAAAAGCGAGAAAGCCGAAACATTGATTTTCGTTAAGGTTTTGGAAGGATTTGGGCCTCTTCGGGGCCTCCTGGGGGAGCTCTTTGGCCACTTGGAGCCGCCTTGGAGCGGTCTTGGGGCCTCTTGGAGCATCGTGGGAGCCATCTTGCGGCATCTTGGGATACATTGAGCCATCTTGGAGATCACCTTGGGCCCCCCCAGGCGCCTTTGGAGTCATCTGAATCTGTCCCCCCCCCAGGAGGCCAAAATGTGGCAAAAACCCTAGTAAAATCAACGAGTTTGGCATTCTCGCCGAAGCCTCTTGGAGCGTCTTGGGTGCCTGTGGGGGGGGGGCTCTTGGGGGTCTCTTGGGAGCCTTTTGGGGGCATCCTGGGGGCCTCTTGGGGGCCTCGTGGGGCCGCCTGGCCACCTCTTGGGGCACCCTTGGGAGCGTTCTTGGGGCCACCTCGGAGGAGATCGACCAAAGAAGGGGGGGGTCTTCAATCAGGGTCCCCCCCCTCAAGGAGGCCAGAATGGGGCCAAAGCCTTGGTAAAACCAATGATTGGGACTTCCTGGCCGAGGCCGTTTTTGACGTTCTAACTAACCGTGGAACCCCCCGGCCAGGTCCAGGGGACGGGGAAGGGGGAGGGGTAAATTCCTTCCTGAAGGGGAAGAAGGGCGTTGGAAGAGGAAATTCCTTAGACCATCTACGCCCTCAAGGGCTGGTGGGCCTATGATCACACAGGTCGGCGAGGTGTCTACCTAGATCCCTCTTTCGAAAAGGTCCGGCCCTCTTTCGTGCAACGGGTGCACATTATTGCACTTGTGGTCACGAATTCCGAGCAAGTCGGAAGCGAGAGGTTCATTTTGAAAAGGAGCCGCCTTCGTTCCGTCCAGTACTACACGTGTTGAAGCTGCTGGTCTTCAAGAAGTCTCAAGCGAGAGCCACATTATGAAAAGAGCCGTCCTCCTTTTTGTAACTGCTGCAATGTGTTGTGTCGCGAGCGTTCGGCGCTAAGGTGGGAGCTCCATGTTCAAAACGACCTTGGCTCCATGATGTCGTGTAAGTGCCGCAAGCAGCTCTGAGATTTGGCCAAGAACGAGTACGCGCGGTGCTAACGCGAGAGCCCAATTTTGAAAACACCCCCACCCCCCCGCATTATCAAAATCGCTGCAACACTGAACACGAATGCGCGCGACGCTGAAGCAAGAACTCCATTTGGAAAACGATCCCTTCTCTGTCCGTGTAGCACTTGCAAACTGTTGAAACGAATTCCCGCGGCGCTACGGCGAGAGCCACACGTTGACAAAGAATCGCTCCCCATCTTTGAAAGTGCTGCAAGTTGTCATGACAGATGCGCACGGCGCTAAGGCGAGCCCCATTTTGGAAATGATTCCCCCTTCCCCACCTTTGAAACTGATGCAAACTGTAAGACGAATGCGCGCGGCGCAGAAACGGGAGCCCCATTTTTGAACCACACGCGCTCCACCCTTCCAACTGGTGCAAAAATGTCAGTCGAATGTGCGCGGTTGCGAGAGCTCTCTTTGAAGACGATTTGCGCTCCATTCTCGATATTTTTCAACTGTCAAGCCTTAGTCTCAGAAGTAGTGAGAAAGCCTCGTGCGAAACGCCCAGCCCGCCCTACGGACACGTCTGCGGGTGCGACAGGGGGAGCTTGTTTATATGGAACAGGGATGGAGGAAGAAGGGAGGATGCAGGGAAGGAGGAGGCAGGAGGCAGAAGGGAGGAGGGTGGCAGAGGCGAGGCCCAGCCTGTGCGATGAGAAACCTGTGGCGCACCCTACGGCGAAACCTATGGCGCAACGCATGTTGCATTGAGACAGCGGAGGAGTTCGTTGATTCCGGCGTGTCTGAACACCTATGGCGCAACATATGACGCAACTTGAGGTTTCCATCCGACCAGCCACCCCCCTTTGACCCCCCAGTGCTTGGCGGCCAGCGCCACGCCCAGCAGAGTGCCGGGCGCTAGTCGCTGAAGATAGGCCCAGACGCCCATGCTGTCAAGCCGGCGGTGGCGGCTGATCCACGCTGTTGCGTTCCCGCCGAGGTCCACGCTGAAGATGCAGGGGGGGGGGAGCTGACCCCACGGAACCCGAGGTGAATGGGCCATGTGTGTTCTAAGAGCTGAGAGCTGGGGAGCGCGAGCGCAGACAAGCCGGAAAGCCTAAGGCTGGAACATGGGAAGATGCAGAGCAGGAAAGTTGGAAAGCGGAAGGCTGCAACCGTAAGAGATGGAAGTTGTCAGCTTGGAAACTTGAAAAGCAGGAAGGCTGAATGCTTCAAGATTTCAAAGAGAAGCATCGGAAGCTGGAAGGTTGGAAGCCAGGAACCCATGACAGTTGGAAGGCTGGAGTGCTGGAAAGCTGGGCAGTGGAAAGCTGGAGAGCTGAAAGATAGAGCAGGGAAAGCATGAGAGCCCGGAAGCGAGAACCTGCAACCGTGCAGGCTGGCAGGCATGCAGGCTGGAAAGGCGAAGGCTGTCGTCGTGGCGCCGTCGACCCGGGACGGAGGACGGGGGACGAGGAGGAGCGGGCGAGGCAGCGGCAGCGCCAGCCGAGCCCTGCGCGCGAGCAGCGCCGGAAGGCGGACGCGGGCGCCGGCGAGTTGCTGCCGCCGGAGCCCAAGCTCCGGAAGCTGCGGACGCCGGGGCCCCAGGCCGGCAGGGGCCCAGCGCGGTCCTCCTCCTCCTCCTCCTCCTCCTCCTCCTCCTCCTCCTCCTCCTCCCCCTCCTCCTCCCCCCCCTCCTCCTCCTGCTCCTCCTCCTCCTCCTCCTCCTCCTCCGCCTCCTCCTCCTTAGCGATCCCTCTGGGGAAGGCCCGCCGAGGCAACGGCAGCTGGACTTCGGGGGGGGCCCCCTCGTCGCCACGGCCGGACGCGGGTCGGAGAGCTGGGGCGTGTGGGCTCTGGGGAGTGGTCGGGGCGTCGATGTTTGGAGCTGCCGGTGTCTCGAGTCGCCCTGCTCCCAGGCCCCCATCCGCTGCGAGTGGCCTGCTTCCCCGGCGCGATCGCCAGCAACGGGGCGCGTTCCATCGGCATCCGAGCCCTGGGACCATCCCAGACCGATCCGGCTCGGAAGCGCCGCGGACACAGGGAGGCGAGGACTCCGGTCGTGATTTTTCGTGATGTTGCAATGTACTCGCAATGCCGGATCTCAGGGAAGGGTTGTGCCGAGCGGCCTGGAACAGCAGCCCTCACCCCCGGCCGCCCAACCAAGGGTTGACACCCCCTGGCGGGTGTGGCCATGGGCGGTGGGGAGGCCAGCGCGATGGCGACCGCGGCGTCCCAGAAGACGGGAAAGAAAGAGGAGAAAGAGGAGAAAGAGGAGAAAGATGAGAAAGAGGAGGAGGATGAGGCGGAGGCGGAGGCGGAAAAGAAAGAGGGAGGAGGGCAAGGAGGAGGAAAAGTGGAAAACAGTAGGCCTCCTCTCAGCCTCCTCCTCCTCCTCCTCCTCCTCCTCCTCCTCCTCCTCCTCCTGCTCCTGCTCCTCCTCCTCCTCCTCCTCCTCCTCCTCCATTCCTCTTCCTTTTGAACACCTCTTCCCTGTCTGACCCCGAGATGTGTCAGTAGGGCGGTCCAGGCGTTTCGCTTCAGACTTCCTCACAGTATATGATCCTCAAGCGTGAGATTCGCAGCAGTTTCACGGGTGAGAGGCGAGTCGCTTTCACAGTGAAGATCTCGCCTTATCGCCGCGCAAATTCGTTTTAAATTGTGGCAAGAGCCTCACGGATAGAGGGCGGGTCGCTTTCAAAATGTGTTTCTCGCTTTGGTGCCGAGCACATTCTTTGAAAGAAATCGCTTCATTGATGGAGCGCGGTACCTTTCCAACATGTGGTTCTCGCTTTAGCGCCGCGCACATCCCTATTAAGAGCTTGCAACAGTGTCAAGGATTCGCATGGCTAACGGCCCAGAAATGTTGTTCTAGAAAGATGTAGGACTATCAGGGCGCAAAAGGTATGTTGATTCGCGATTGTGAAGTCCCAGGAACGGCGTTATGGCACGATTCAGGATCGTCAGGATGCAACAGTAATGTTGATTCGTGGCGTTCTGGTTCTAGGAGTGGTGCTCTGGCACGGCTCAGGATTTTCAAACGGTTGTCTTCTAACGGGGCAATTCCGTCAGTGAAATTTAATATTTGCGGTGGCTTATGAAGATGGAGCTTGGAGGGAGGGCTTCCTTGCAACATCGTTTACGAGCGTTGGGCTTACACAGGCCCTTCACCTCATCATCGTCATCACCATCATCATCACCACCACCATCACCGTCCTCATCATCATCATAATCAGCATCCTCATCACCAGCAGTATCACCATAATCATCATCATCATCATCATCATCATCATCATCATCATCGTCGTCATCATCGTCAGTATGGTCATCGTCATCACCATGATCATCATCGTCAGCATCGTCGTCATCGTCATCGTCATGATCATCATCATCGTCGTCGCCCCCATCATCAGCAGCAGCATCATCGTCATGACCATGTTTATTGTCTCCATGATCCTCATCATCCTGATATTGCTCCTGCTGCTCTTCTTCCAGCTTCTCTCTCCTGCTTTGCCGGTGTGTGCCATCGCAGGGTCAGGCCCTTCAGGTTGTGCCCTTCTCTTCCTTGCCCTCTCCTCCCCTCCCCGTCCTTCAGCGTCATCCTCTATGCCTGCGAACCGCCTCGCTGTTATCCCTCTCCACCGCGGCGCCGGGCCCCGCGCCGCGCGCGCTGCCCAGTGCCGCGGTGGCACCGCGCGCACGCCAGCGACGATGTCTAGCCCGAGAGAAGAAGGAGGCAGGGAGGCCCCGTGCACGTGTCATTATGCCGTGAAGAACTTGTGCAATCCAAAGCCCGGGTGGGGGAGCGCCAGGAAGGCCTTCCAGAGCCTTCGGAAGGAGCTCTGGAAGCTCTTGGGAGAGGCTTCCGAGGGAGCTTCTGGAGAGAGCTCGACGGCACACGCACGGGGAAACGCTCAGGAGGGCCCGTGGAGGCACGCCGCGAGGGGAAGGAGGCAGGGAGGCCCCATGCGCTTGCCAGCATGCCGTAAAGAAGGAGGAGGCCGGAGGGGGGGGGGGAGGAGCGGAGCGGGCGCTGCGCCCCAGAGGTCTCCAACCAGCGGTGGATGCTGCGGTCACGAGGTGGGGAGGAGGCTGCATACAGTCGGGGCCCTGAAGAAGGAGCCCTTTTCGTTGGGGAGGGGCTCCGCGTTCCTTTGAGTGTTTCGCAGCTTGCCTCGGGTTTTCCTTATGTCTTCGATCGGAAGTCGAGGCTTACCTTATGGAAAAAAAGGGGCCTGGTTCCTTATTTGGGGTTCCTTAGGTCAAGGCCCCGACTGTACACGTGCACTTACCGGCCGGGCCGAGGTATAAGATCGAGGTCGGTTGCGTCAAGGGTACCTTGGTGTTTTTCGTGCCTGCTGGACGCTCTTGTGCACCCTGGGGAGGGCACCCTTGGATGTTCTGTTTGGCCGACGGAGGGTCTCGTGTTCTTGAGGGATGCTCTTCTGGCCTAGGTCCGATCGTGCTCACTGTCATGAAAGAGGGGGTCGGGGGGATGGATGGAGTAGGGCTCTCCGCTCAGGTGCCCAGCTCATGGTGGATGTTATAATACTTGGCCAGCGAAGATGCTCACATTACGGTGGTGCGACCGTTGGTGGTAGTAGATTCCCCCTTGGTAGCTTGGCATGAGACGGGCCGTGCAACCCTTGCAGGATCGTGGATGCCTTCACTCACGTAGAACAAGGAGGCAAAATATGGCTAGGCGTGGCCACTGGCGTAGTCGACGGTGTGCGAATACTGACAAAAAGTTCCGTAGGTCGTCTCCGCAGGTATGGTTGGCGCTTCAAGCGGCATCGCTAATCTACTGGCTGTGTATTGCTGGGAGCCCCGAGCCCACAGCTCAACGCACTGCTGGGAGCCCCGAGCCCAAAGCTCCACTCGTATCCGCCGCATCCACGCCCATGTCGTTCGCAGCGTGCTGGGCGTCCGTAGTAGCAAGCTCCAGGATCGATTGCTTGGTGTGCGTCTCCACTGATGGTAGCTTCAGCGTCATACTACACCCTGGGACCGTAATGGTATACGTCTCCCCTTTCGGCGGCATGATGACGGCGTAGTGGTGGCGGGACGTATGAACCAAGAGCGTACCGTTCAAGTTGCCAACAGACATTTTCATAATAGTAAGGTGCGCCGCGGTGACATCTCTTCCGCTTATGAGCAGCGACATGTAGGTGTTCGGTTTTATGATATGGCAGGCCGCCAGCCTCAGATCGTAGACGTTCTGCGCACACTCCCAGGTGATTGGGACGGAGAGCGTCGTATCCATCTGAAGCAGATACATTTGGTAGTCGGTCGGGGCTGGCGGGCGCATCAGCTGCACGCACACACGGCATTACAGATTTCGTTGCGTCCGTTGTGTGTTGTTATAAGTGGTCGGCAGAGCCAGCGGCGATGCCCACACAATGCTGTTGTCTTGTCTCCCGTCTCCTCCTTGTCATCTCCCTTCTCCTCCATGGCTGGTGCTTCCCGTGGTGGGGTCCCCCTATTCTTCAGTGGGAAGCCGGCAAGATATATTTGCATGTGGCTCATGAAGACAAATTTCGGCATGACGGACTGGTGCAGTGGCCGTCGTCGTGCACTTCGGGATATGGGATATCCGAAGCGGTCGTCCCGACGAACGGCCTCATGATTGGGGCCCCTCTCCGCGGTGCTTTGCGTCACCCAGGTGTGTTGGCCGTGGTACATCTCGAGTGTGTGCACTGTTGCAGCCTCCGCGCTGGGGCGGAGTGGCGCGCGCCGCCGCCGACGATGCACGAGGGTGGTACCCATCCGCACAACCCCGCCTCTTCCGCCTCTTCGCCCCACACTGCCATCTCGCGCTTCTGCTGCCGCTTTTCCAACACGGCTTAGCCTCTGGCCGTGGAGATCGTATCGACCTCTTGCTCTGCGCACTTGAAGTCCATCATGATCTCGGATTGCGGCTGCGGCATGGCTGTTGGTTGTAGTAGGCTTCGCGTTAGCAGTAGTTGGTGTTGGTAGCGGACGGCGCCCCAAGCAGTGTAGCAGATTGTTCGGGCCGAAAGTTACGATTGCCGCAGGGAACGCTCAGATGGTTGTTTTTCGTTTGCAACGTTTCCCTAGGAATGCGATTGCAACTATCGGTTGGATTCTCAATTCGCACGGTAAAATCATAGGTGCTTGTTTGGGTACAGTGTGCGGTAGATATTGCCAGGTCACGCAGTGATGATCATGGGTGGCACATGTTGTTCGTTTGGACACGTCATGTACAACGTTCGAAGGGTAACGTTCATTCCAAAGCCGACCATGGTAGCGGTCGTCTGCCCAAAGGGAGCCGCCGAGTACAGAATAGGTACAAACGTGAGCGAGGATGCAATCGAACACACAATGCAATGTTGCACGTAGGGTAGGGGGAGGAGAGAGAAGGAGCATTCAGTAATCTGGCAATAACATTGGTAGTAGTACCTACGTATCCCCATGCCGGTTATAATGACGATGCTTGGGCCTTCGGGCGCTTGGGCCTTCGGGCCAGCTGCAAGTGGCAAGGTCGCTGGTGTCGTAGCGCCCACGTCGGCAACATCAAGTCGTGCCGTACGTTGCCTCTCATCGTCATTTGGGCCGGCCAGAGCGAGCGTCTCCCAGCAACCGTGCCATCGTGCAGTCCCCTGCGGTTCTGGAACCCTGTCTGCTTTGTTCTGTTGACGGGGTCACGCACAGCGCATGTGATGGGGATGAGCAGTCAATTGGATGTGCATCATCTGCCAATATCGATGTAGATGAGCCTACACCCGGCTCCCTCATCCCATCCATATCGTGGCATGTATCCGTTTGCGCGTAGGGTCCCCATCCCACGTCCTCGACTCGTGCTATCCGTACTTATCCTCGGGTTTCTGCAGAGTTCTTCCCGATCCATAGATGCATGCAGCACGTCTATACTTCGATGCGCTCCGTGTGGTGGTTGTTCTCTTGTTGAATATATGCCCACAAAGAATTGGGGACATCCGCGATGAATTGACAAAGTAGTGGCGGATCTGCCTTAAGCGGCGCCGTACGGAAATTATCTTCCACATTGTCATAGCCAAGTGCTGTAATGGGAACGTCCCTGAGGTTACACCTCTCGTACCGATCTCGCTCTTGTAGTAGCTCGTTGGCCTACAGACAGTCAGGCAAGTTGGTGCGATTTGGGATTCCGGCCCGAGGTTTCAAATCGCACGAAGGCACCAGATTGTCTGTCCAGCCAGGCCAGGGGCCGTCGGCCCAGCCAGTCTGGGGAAAGGAGTTTGGGTGGCAAGTCGCAGGCGATGGGCGCAGCGTCGGGCACGCGACCGCGAATGCAGGTGCCCCCGCAGACGTTGGCAAGAGCCCCCGCTCGGGAGCGTCAGCCTCGCCTCGGGCGTCGGATCCGGGTGTGGACCCGCCACGGATCCTGCGTGAGCCCGGTGTTTGTTGGACGGACCTTAGGCGAATTCGAGGGGTTCTGGACGGATCCGAGTGGTGGGAAAATAGCGCCCCTTGGCAGGGATCTTGTCGGACCACTGCACCTTTGTATCATATCAGGTACAGGCAGCGAAGGACTCCGAGGCCGGCTTACGCAGGGACGCGGAGCAGGCGCGACACGGGGGGGGGTAGCCGCCTCCCAGAATGTTACCAGGGCGCCCCTAGAGCTTTGCCCGGGCGGTTCCTTCCAGAATTTGCCGCAGGCGGCGCCTTCCAGAATTTTACTGCGTTGCCCCTGTGGGTTCCGGCCTTTTGGACCTCGACGTCGCCGGCGTCGTCGTCGTCGCCAGCACCATTATTGAGGTTCAGACCCCGGTCACGCGTTGATTGTCACGCTCCCAGTCCAGGCAAATTCAATCACGCTTCCAGTCCAGGCAAATCGTACCAACCTTACCTGACTGTCCGTAGGGAGCGCGCATGCAGAGTAGCATAGTCCGCATTCGGTTGCGGCCATCGTAAAGAGATTGTCAAGGCTGATCCCTATGGCGATCGGCCCGCTGAGAAATGCATTGGTATCCTGTAGCAATCGAGGCTCATCTCGTCCGCCACGTTGGAGTAGCTGGGTGACCCATGGTGGCAGATATCTCGAGGAGTATTGCCTCGAGCAGGGGCTTCAAAGTAACACGTAGAAGCCGGTTGCCGATTCGTACTTGAGCTTCCGTTCGTGCGTCAAGCCATTTGCATCTCCATAGCCCATGCTTCTCTCGAAGTAGCCGAGGCCCTCCACCCTGAGGGGAGCGTATGTGGCTCCAGCGGGCCCCACTCCGAGATTCGCAGGCTGGTCCTGCAAGTAGTCCCATCACGCATCCGTCCCGCACAGGCTGTACCCAGCAGTACTTGGCCTCATGGTGTAGGAGAGTTTCCCAGTGCTGGTAGTTGACGAGATCCGAGCTGATAACCTGCACTGCGAAAGTAAGCTCCAGCTAAGTGTGCCACTGAAAGTGTTGGTGTTTGCGTCTTCCTTAGAAGAAGTGCAGGAAGTAGTGCACATTGACTTGCGCATACTGGGGGGGCGTGCATGCAACGTAGGCATCATCTGACGATTGTTGTACTGGTTGCAGTTCTGGCGGTATTCGGCGGTCGTCCTCGTATTGTTTTCCTGGAAGGTGTATTGGTTGGATTCCTGGGCTTTTTCTGACAAGTATATCGGCTCCCGCCTCGTCATATTCTTTGCGCACGAGGCTTGCACTTTGCACGAGGTCTGCCTCGTCCAGCTCGCCAAGTCGCTCCGGCAATCGCATGGCCAGATGGTGGCGCATGCAGATTGCACACATGCGCTTGTGAGGTTTATGAGGAATCGTCGATGGACTGGGAGTTTTTTTGTTGCGAGAAGGCGTGGCCTTTCTGCGCACGCGTAGCGTTATTCCATTGTGGGTAGCGGAGCATGCCCAGGTGGCTGTGGTATCTTCAGGTGTCGGAGCTGGTTGCCGTAGTTACACTCCCAGCTAATATGTCGCATGTGCTCCCATGTCCACGGATGTCTAGCACTCCGTACTTGCTTCATGTGTTTCGTGGTTTGCTTTGTTTTCTCCAGCGACAAGTGTTCGTGTGTTCGCAAGTTGGGTAGTGTTTCGTGTGTTCACAAGTTGGGTAGTCAAGCCGTTGTTGTGGTCCATGCATTCTGCCATATTCGGAAGTAGCATCGGAATGGTTATGATGCGTAGCGGCTGGCCCAGGTCTAGACGGTCCTTTTTCTCTGGCACACCGTGGTCCGCCATTTTTCGTCATGTGGTCTTTCTAGCTTCATGCGGGGCCCATGCACCGCAGTTCACCGTCTGTGCTGGCCATTTGTCCGAGCTGCATGTCAGCAGGACATCTATCCTCCTCCTCCTCCTCCTCCATCCTCCTCCTCCTCCTCCTCCTCGTCATCCTCCCTCCTCCTCCTCCTCCTCCTTCTCCTCCTTCTCCTCCTCCCTCTCCCCCTCCTCCTCCTTTTCCTCCTCCTCCTCCTCCGCCTCCTCCTCCGCCTCCTCCTCTCCCTTCTTCCTCCATCCTCACTTACTCTTCCTCTCATCATGGCCACTTCTCATCACACTCTTCCCTCCTATCCCCGCGCCGCATCACCAGTCGTGTCGATAGGGCGAGCTGGGCGCCTCGCCAGATGCTGCCTCTGGGGGCGTGATCATGAAGCTTGCATCCTCTGGCAGTTACATGGATGGTGGGTCGTTTACACAATGTTGTTCTCGCCTCAGCGCCACACGCGTTCTCCTTGACAGTGCCCCACAGTTCCACGAGTGGAGCACAGCTCGTTTTTGTCTGAGGATCTCGGTTGCCGCACAGAGTCTCACAAAAGCTTCTGGCCGTCGCACGGTTGCAGCACAGCCAGTTTCCAACAAGTAGTTATCGCCATAGCGCCGCGCACATTCGCTTGCAGAGCTCCCAACTGCTACACTGGTGGAAGACGGCTCGTCTTCAGAATGAGGATCTCGCAATAGGGTCTCGGAACATGATGACGCGCAACAGCTCAAGTGTTCCTGCTCGTCATGGATTTAGTTTTCGCCTGACTTGCATGCCCCCCTAGTGCGCACGCCTCCCAGAATGAAGACGGGCACTGGCAGAGGCCGATGAGGAGCGGACTTTGAGGCGGAGGACGTGTTGCAGCATCCTTCGGCGCATCCTGGGCGTACTCAGTTTAGGATGCAACTCCTGGGAGGTTCAAGTCAGTATCGGCGCTGGCATGTCCGTTGCCGAGAGAACTGGCCGAAGCCAGCCGAATCCCGCGTCATGTGTTTTGTTCCGCATCATCCCGCCTGAGCTGGTTGAACTCCGGTTCTCTCTTGAGATTGATCTGGGTTTATCTGGCTTCATGGCCCCTCGATCTGGCTCGACAGCTTTTAATCGCTCTGGCGAAGAGTTCCCAAGAGTTTTCCTGGGTTCGGCGATACAAAAAAATATCGAGCCCGCCCGCCCCCCCATAGCTTGACTTTGTCGGCTGCGCAGGCCCGAAGGGGGGTACGTATACAGTATGGGTACGCGCGGGCATACATGGAGTTGCCCAAAACGAATAGGCCAGGTCATCGACCACCACCTACTACCCTCCCACCCACACCCCCCAACCGGGTAACCCGGGCGACAGTCAACCCGCATAGTGAGGAGGATGGGCAACCTTCCCAAGGGTACCCGTGCGTCCTTGCTTCCTCGGTCCATCCTTGGCCACTTTCGGTGGCCGCGCCCCGCTCGAAAAGCTTCGAAACGGCCTTCCAAGGCCCTTGCATCCTTATCGCCGATCGTGGATCCTTATGATACGGGTCGACCGTCACCGAAAATAACTAAAACTCCAATTCTGGCCTCCTTCCTCCCCCACCAAGGAGGAGGGAGCCTCACGAGCGCCGTCCCCTTCCCCCATTGCGCGGCGCACCTACCGCGCCAGGCCGTGCCGCCCGGCGCGGCGGAGCTGTTGGACCCGTTTGCGTTGCACCGCTTCTACTGCCCGATGTACAGCCGCCCCGACGACCGCTTAGGCCCTCCATGGGCTCAGCATCGTGCAATATATCCCCATCCCCACCTGGGTACAGCAATTCCTTTCTCATCCTTTCTCCTCCTCTTCCTCCTCCTCCACCTCCTCCTCCTCCTCCTCATCCTCATCCTCCTCTCCCTTCTCCTCCTCCTCCTCCTCTTCCTCCTCCTCCACCTCCTCCTCTTCCTCCTCGTCCTCCTCCTCCTCCTCTCCTTCCTTTTCCCTGCCTTCCTGTTCCATGTTCTCAGCATCTCTAGGCCGCCCTGATGGGGTCGGAGCATATGGGGTCGGAGGATCGCGCCGCATCGCCGATGCATCGGCGATGCGGCTCAATGTGGAGCCCGCTTTCCTCCACGCAGACGTCGCCGATACATCGCCGATGCGGGGCCATCCTCCGACCCCATCTACTTCGACCCCATCAAGGGGGCCTCTCGTATCGTGCGATAGATCCACATCCCCACTTGGCCCAGCCCCACTATCCCACCACCCCAATTGGGGATAGGCCCCTCGAAACCCGAAGAGAACAGCCCATATCCCCATCTATGGGGTAGAATCGGCCAGTAGGGCGCAGGCCACGCCAGTAGGGAAGAGGATCGATTAAGCAATGCTGATGGGCGGGGGCTGAACCTGGAGGAACAAAAAGTTGCATGAACTTAGTCTTCTGGAGGTCGGCGCGAATTCCTCGAGTCGGGACCGTGACCCCCTGGCGGCGCGTCTGGCGCCGCCCCTGGCGCGCTCCAGGGCCGTTGTCTACTCCTCGAGCTGGAGCGTCGTGAGATGCCGCAGAAAGATGATGCTTCGCGAGGTTGCCATTTTCTCCCTGCGTCCGATCTCAAGGGAGCCTTGTTCCCCACAGAATCCGGAGTGCACGGTTCCTTTTTGAGTCGTGCAGTGCCTCCACCTCCTTCCTTGCTCCTTGCCGCCTCCCTCCACCTCAAGCTCTGACTTCTCACAGTCAGACACTCAGCACCCAGATTCACTCATGCTCAGGCCCGCTCACGCTCGGACTCGGTCACGCTCAGACCGCCCATGTTCAGACTGCAGACAGCCTTGTTTGCAGACCCGCTCACAGGCATATGTTTTCACACGCCTTCCAGACTCACTCATACTCAGACTCACTCGTACTCACAACCACCCGCAGTCCCATGTGGGCACACACACACAGCCTCACTCGCACTCAGACTCAGCCGTGCGTAGACGCGCGCACACTCAGACTCACTCGCACTCATATCCACTGATGCGCAGCTTTGTCACATTCAGACTTACCCACGCTCAGACTCACCACTCACACCCAGACTCGCTCACCAATAGTCCCCCCGACGTAACAGGCGTAGCACCTGCGCTCCCCAAGGGGCGAGTCCCCATGGTGCAGATCACGGGCCCGTGCGCGCCCAGGTTGGGGAGATCTCTCGAGCGGCTCGCTTGTCCGGGCAGACAGGCGTGTCTCTTTTCGGGGCCGCGGGGCCACCGTGATGCAACAGGCATAGCACCCCTGCACCCGCGGGGGGGAGGGGGGCGGGGGGGGGGGGCGGGGCTCGAGCAGCTCAAGCACGAGCTTCCAGCCCGGCCGTGGCAGGAGGAGGAGGGGGGGCACAGGGGAGAGAGGGGGATAGGGAGGAGAGAGGGATGATCGAGGAGGCGCAAGGGTGTATGGAGGCGCGTGGGTCAGCGACGGGCCCCGCCTCCGCAGAGGAGGATCCGCACGCTGCGTCGCCAGGTCAGGCGGCACTGGCCCCATGTCTCGGGGGGAGCATCGTCCCCGATCCGTAGATCTGGCGCCCGCGCGCCAGGTCAAGGGATCCGTCATCCATGTTAGCGTGCGCGTGAGAAGAGGGGCGGCAAGGGGAGGAGGGGAAGGGGGGAGGGGGGAGGGGGAGGAGGGAGTGAGGGGCAGGAGGGGAGGGGGAGACCCTGAGATCCGACGTTGCGGGAAAAAATACAACGTTGCGAAAAAAAATGCTGCGGCATTTGTCGAACCCGATCGATATATGATGGCCCCGGGGCCCGAAACTCTGCGAAGACGCCCAGTTTGGAAGAAGTGCAACGCCCGGATCTCTGGGGGGGGGGAGAAAGCAGGGGGGAGAGAGAGAGGGAGGCAGGAGGCCCCGATCCAGACCCCCGACGCCCTGACTTCGTCTTAAATGTTTGAACCCCCATGGGGTCTCGATCTGTTCCCCCCGCCGCTGCATCCCGAGCAGCTGCCTGACGGTCCCTGCGGCCAGGCGAGGTCCCCCAGAGGTGCCGCAAAGGACCCCCGTTTCTGCATGACTCTACGCGTAGGAGGTCTGTAGAGGAGGGGGAGATGGCAGAGGAGGAGGAGGAGGAGAAAGAGAAAGAGAAAGAGGAGGAGGTGGACGAAGAGGAAGAGGAGGAGGAGGAGGAGGAGGAGGAGGAGGAGGAGGAGGAGGAGGAGGAGGGAGGCCCCCGGAGCAACACCGCCCTCGCCGAGCCCAGGCGAGGCAGCGACGCGGGCGATCCGCGCACACGCGGCCGCCGCGCCTGCAGAGGCGCGGCGGAGGGGAGCATCGGGGAGGATTGGAGCCGTCTGGGGTTCTGAGGTGGCCCGGCACTGGTTCTGGCCAGCAGCAAGGGCGGGCAACAGCCCGCAGCAAGCGCTGGGCGGGAGGTTCTTGTCTGTGGCCCGTTCTCAGGCCCCGGGGACCGCGAAAAACGGATCCAGGGCGAAACGCTCCACCAGACGGACCCCTCCCGTCGGTCGGAGGTTGTTGGACCTCCTACCTCGACGCGTCGATTAATGAATTGGCCGTTTTCGGTTCGCGAGAGGGCGTCGCGGCCGCTATTTTTGCGGGTCCAGGTCCGTCGGTTTCGGTCCCAGGCCGTTTAGATTAAGGGGAGGTTTATTAAAGGGAGGTTTGCCCACCGCCGAATCGGGGAGGAGGATCCATACGGTGAGGAGCTCTGGCTCCGCACGTCGCGCCGCGAGTTCTGGCCCACCACGCTTTGACGCGGCGCGCTATCTGTGTCCCAGCTCCCCGAGGGTCACCGTCCTGAGCCTTTCGGAGCCTCCCGCCCCGGCGGAGCGGGGCGACGCGCTATCCGCCTGCAGGGCACGGCGTGTCGCCAGGGCCGCCACCGCGGCACGCTGAGCAGAAGTTTCTTGCCGTGCTCGCCGCTGTTGGTCGAGCTTCGGCGGCGAGCGAGGGGGGAATAATGAGAAGGAGAAGGCCGTCTCAGCAGGCGGCGGGACTCCTCGGAAGCCCTCGCGCCTTCTGAGGAGTGCTTCTGTGTCTTTTCCGGGGATACTTACGGAACTTCGCAGATGGCCAGGGGACTTCCGAGCCTCCTGGGGAGGCCCGCCCCTTCTCATTTCCCCCCCCCCCCCCTTCCCCAGCTCGCCGCCTCGAGGAGGAGGAAGGAGGAAGGAGGAGGAGGAGAAGGAGGTGGAGTCGGCGCCGGCGGCGGCGGCGGCGGCGGCGGAGGAGGAGGAGGAGGAGGAGAAAGCGGAGGCGGCGGAGGAGGAGGAGGAGGAGGAGGAGGCGCAGGCGGAGGCGGAGAGGAGGAGGATCGAGATCGGGGAGGCCGCGATCCCCCACGATCTGATGTCTTCGATTCCGGCGTGCTTCGTTTCGATGTCGGCCTCTGGGGCTTGCTGTCGCGTCCTCGTGCCATCAATAAAGTGGCCCCGGGACGAGAACTTGGCCCTGGTCCTCCTCCAACTCCTCCTCCTCCTCCAATTCCTCCTCCTCCTCCTCCTCCTCATCCTCATCCTCATCCTCCTCCTCCTCCTCCTCCTCCTCCTCAGTCGAGATCGGGAAGGAGGATCGAGATCGAGGAGGCCTTGATCCCCCGACGATCTGATGTCCTCTATCCCGGCGTGTCTCCTCGATTGCGAAGGCCTTACGGCCAGTGCCGCCGACCCTGAAGGGAGACGACGACGACGACGACGACGACGACGACGACGACGACGACGACGACGACCTGATTTCCTCGATCCAAGCGTGACTCCTCGATTGTTTTGGCCCCCTATGGGGCCCGCCGTCGGGCCCCACAGGGGGCCACCAAGACAGTGGCCCCAGGGCGACAATCATTGGCCAGGGTGCTCGTCCTTCTCCTCCTCCTCCTCCACCTCCTCATCTTCCTCCTCCTCCTCCTCCTCGTCTTC